ACTGCCTGGATAATCACGTGGGCCGTTAATGACGCGTCCAATTCGCGAACTAATGACTCCTTTGAACCGATTCACTTGACTGAATGGTTAAAACAACTGATCTGTCTAACACTCAAGAGACATAGATCGGAAACACTTTACAATAAGGTCCCATTTATTAAAGTCTAGTTAACTACATTAGTTAACATTTCTATTATTATTAGTTTCAATGCGGATTTGCACACCCCCAGTCATTCTAGAATGATTCATTCTTTCCAAATAGAGCTTTAATTCATCTGGTGAAATTGTTTTTATAAACATCAATATCGATATCGGTAAATAACGGTATCGGCCATAACAGTAATATTAAAATCGGTATCGGCCCCAATTTTCACATTGGTGCATCACTGTGTAATAAATGTTCTCTAAAAGAGCTGGTACTGTTACTTATGACAAATATTAATCAAATAACTATAGTGACTAAAATACTTGAGGCAATGTTGACCTCATTAAGAAACACTTGAAGGCTGAATACATTTAATGTGTTGTGTTTTTGATTACTGGATTTAGACTGTATTCCACATGTACTTATGTGATATTATGAATAATTTGTGTTTCTGAAGACAGTATTAGCATATTTATTCCATATTGAATAAATAATTGGCTTCAGAAAGTGAAATTGTGAGTTCAGCCACTAACAGATGTACAGATATAGTGTGTCTCATAAGACACTCGCACTACTGTTACAGTCTATGTAAATTGATTTGTAACAATTACAAGTGTTTCATCAGTAAACACTAGAGCTCGACCGATAAAGGATTTTGAAGTTCTGATACCGATATCCGATATTCCGATATATCGGCCGATATTTTTTTTTGGTTAAATATTGTTGGATTTCACACACGTGTAAAAGAAAATCTAACTTTTCTGCACAAGATACGTTTGATACTTTTTCTCTATGTCTAAATGTTCACTCCTCGCAAGTATAACTTACATTTTACAATGCAGGGACTGTAACTAGAGATATGCTAGTTATAAATACAGTAATAATTACTTTATTTAGGCAGAAAAAGTTCATTGTGGTTTCCAAGCTCATTAATGTTAACGTTAGCGTTCTTCCACTGATGATAGTGGCATTAGCTTGCTTTGTGGTTAGCTAGTCTATGATGAGCCATAATTTAGCAATAGATAACATCATACTGCAAATTGTAAAAATACATTTTCAATATAACAGGCCAAGGATAGATGATTAAAGCGTGTTTCGTCCGTTTTAATTTTATTTTTTAAATATTCAATTATCGGCCATTATAACTGCCGATACCGATATTATGGAAAATGCCTAATATCGGCGGGCCGATATATCGGTATGGCTTTAGTAAACACATGATGTTTAAATGGTAAAATGTCTTTAAAAAGCATTTTCTAGATTAGTTTAGATGGCATTAATGTGTCTCAAAGTCTCATGCGTGTCTCAGATCTTGAGTTATTCGTCACATTCATAAACCGCAATGCACAATCTCTTCACTAATATCATTTTGTTTTGTCGGATACATCATGAAGGTAAATTTAAATTCGGTCATCGTTGTCTATTTTTATGTGCCATTGTTTGGATGTTTTGCATATTGATATGCCCAGTATTTTCAATAATTAAAAAGTTCTAACGATCTTATTTTCTAATTCTGTATATTGTATGTTACATAATATGTGCTGTATTAGCCCTAAATAATTAAAAATGTTAAATAAACAGTTAGACTACAAAAGTTTATAAAGTTTCAAACTGAAATCATGGACAAATTTAAAGAAAAAAAAAAGTTTTTTTCCCCTTAAAAAGTGTGACGATTTTAGTTTTCGCTACTTTTCTTTACTTCACAATTAGTATAATTTACTGTGGATGTGTTTCTAAACTAGGGAAATAGATAGTAGTGCAGTTTCTATTTGTTTTTTGTCACTGTTTATATAGTAAAGAAGTGAATGCGCTCTTGTCCAATCAGAACACCGGAGTAGAAGTAACTGTTCCATAACTGCCTCTGAGCCAGCGAGCGGACACACATCTCCTACAGTACATCAGGAAGTGCTCTTTTCCTTTCTGCTGTCATTTGTTCAGGCACTCAACAGATGGCACTGTTAAACTGTGCTGAGGTGTGTGTGTGTGTGAGCCATTGAGGATAGCTGATACTGCACTAATTCAGTAAATATTAGATGAAATGAATTACAAACAAGCTCTTCAGAAACCAACCTCAGTGAACAATACTATTTAATTAAAGTTTTCATGGTCATTCATGTTACTCAGTCAACCTCCTCAGTGCATCTCAGTGTGTCTCGTCTGGTATGTGATCATCACCTTGTTCAGATGCTGTCTTCATGACAGTGAAGTGTTTGTCTGCATTATCCATCAGTGGCCTGAACAGAATAACACAGATTGGACTCTGAGATCATTGATGTGGGAGGACCGCGGGTGATGCTGGTTACATTAGTTTCTGGTGTAGTTTTGGCTGTCATCTCTGTAGGCAGAGGCCTGTGTTGACATGAAATGCGTCCGATGATGCGGTCTAGACACTGAGATTTCAGATATGTCTGTTACTGTTCGAGATATCAGATGCTTCCTCAAAAGTCATCTACAGAGTTCAGAGGATGAACCGACTGTGATGTTTTTTATTTTATTTTTTTATATACTTTGAGTTTCAAGACAACATTACAACAAAGCAAAACAAAAGACAAAATCATCTTGAATAATAATAATAATATTCTGGATATTAAAATATTTTGGATAATAATATTCTGGATATTAAAAAAGAAAGTAAATTCTAGTGTGGCTTAAAACAATGAAAGTGCCGGTCTGCATGATTAACTGCGTTCATACCGCCACCGGCAAGAGCGTCAAAATGGTCAAAAGTCATTAATTTTCCAAAATGACCTCATGAAATGGCTTATGTATGACACGCCAATTCGTATTTCCATTTTTGACGTGCTATCAACACGCATAATCGCTTTTTAGCATGTTTATGAACGCCGTTGACTTAACGTTGCATTACTGTATATATAAATATATGACCTACCCCAACCTCGTCCCTAAACCTACCCGTCACTGGGGTTAAAGTTTTAGTTCACCCAAAAATGAAAATTCTGTCAGTATTAACTCACACTCATGTTGTTCCAATTCCATAAGACCTTCGTTCATCTTCGGAACACAAATTAAGATATTTTTGATGAAAACTGAGAGCTGGATCACTCCTGCATACAAGTCCATAGGCTTCTTGAGGGATTGAAACTTGCCGGCCTCGAAAAATTATTAAAGACATCGTTAAAATAGTCCAAGTGACTTCAGTGGCTTAATCTTAACTTTATCAAGCGACGAGAATACTTTTTGCGTGCAAAAACAAACAAAAATAACAATTTTATTTCAACTATTCACTTCCTTATGCATGGGCCTCTAGTCAGTTAACGTAGTGTGATAGCATAGAGCTACGTCACACGTAGGCTCACCATTGGCCGACGCTGGTCATGTGTGTGATGCGTGTGATGTACAATAACAGAAGCTTACGGTATTAAACTAGTAACCTGACTCGAGGCAGAGAGAGAAGTAAATGAATAGTTAAAATTATGTCGTTATTTTTGTTGTTTTTTGCACCCAAAGTTTTCTCGTCGTTTGATAAACTTAACATTGAGTCACTTGGACTATTTTAACGATGTCTTTAATAACTTTTCGAGGCCAGCATTTTTCAATTCCTCAAGAAGCCTATGGACTAGTATGCAGGAGTGATCCAGCTCTCAGATTTAATAAGAAATATCTTAATTTGTGCTCCGAAGATGAACGAAGGTCTTACGGGGTTGGAACAACATGAAGGTGAGTAAATACTGACAGAATTTTCAGGGTGTTTCAGGATTTTTTGGGTGAACTAACCCTTTAATACCATTTATGAGTCTTCCCCTACCATCCTAGGGAAAAAAATATCGCTCCCCAGATGTAGATCTACGTTTTGCTTCATTCCGCTCGGACATTTAACGGCGTGTACATACACGCGGAATCACGCGGACATGTAACGGCGTAGACATACACGCATACACGCGGATAGCTCAAAATGCATATAGATAACACGCCACTTGACTTGAAAGTTTGCGCAAAAGTCATGATGACATAGGCTATTGCATTTTCTATGTGAGCTGGCGTCGCGTCGAGAACGGCGAGGAGAGTTTAAGTCAGGTCAACTTTATGGTAATGAGCTATGATGTGGTTCGGCGGCAACCAATGAGAATGTTGACGCGCTCCGCTTGTGGTTCCGACTACATTAGTTCCCAAGCAAAATGGAGGAGAGGTTGATCATGTGAATTTGATAAGAAGGCCGCAACATTCTTTATTGGCAACATTTTTGTGCTAGAACGCTTAGCAGATTAGCACTTAACCATGAACACACACCACACAAATGGCTTTTAATTGGTTTATTTGGTTAGCAAACATGTCACTATAATTGTTAAGTTCTTTCCATTGATCAGTTTCTTACTTTCACATTTAAAAGATTCCATGCTTGGTTAGTCTGCGCAAACAACGTTCAGCGTCGGATCTCGTGTTTTGACGCAGGACGGCAAATGCGAGTGAATTTTTTGTCATCTTTGATATGAAGAGTCCAAAGTACCATATTTTACCAACTGTATGTAAGTGAATAGCACATAACAGGCACAATAAACATGAATATTGGTACAAAATGCATCACATGATTAAACTTTTGTCATTGTTTTTAAATGTCATCGTTTGGACAGTCCACACTACAATGCTAAAACAGCGTTTTTTTAAATTTATCCACTTTGAAGGGCGTTTTCAAAAAGCTTAGTTTTTATGAATATAAATGCGGTCTCAGTGTGGATGAAAGGCCAAAGCGCTGAGAAAAAGATGCCTTTTCAAACAGAAATGTATTAGTGTGGACAAGGCCTAAAACCTGGAAGAAATTATTATTATTTTTTTCCTAACTGACAAGCCGGTTGATGTGTCATTGTACCGGTGTAATGTACATTTATGTGTTGTGTAGCAGCGATGCAGGGCTGAAGGACGTGCTGTCGGACTGGGACTCAGACATGGACGCTGTGGACTGTCTCAAGGACTCAGATGTTCTCCACAATGGCAGCCGGAGTGACCATGAAGCGGCGCGGCGTCTGGCCCGACGGCTCTACCACCTTGAGGGCTTCCGGCGCTCCGATGTGGCCAAACACCTGGGCAAGAAGTGAGTGCTTTCAGACATACATTCAGTTTGGGTTTTTTTGATTGGAGACCCATTTTATAAACACAAACCAGAGGAATATGAAATCAGTAGCCTCTAACTTGAATCCGAAGAACGTCATCCTGCAGAAATACATATAGATGCTTGCTTTGAGTCTGACTGGTTGGATTTGTTGACCACATTACAAATGTTGTCAAGCTATCTTCTTAGTTAAGGGCACATCACATATTAATTGTTATTAAGGTGAAAATGTTTTATTTGCAACCAGAGCATGATTTCTGCAGTTTAGAGCATAATACAACAAGGATTTACCATGAGCTTGCTGTTGCAGCATTAAAACGTAGCATGGTTAGCCTCGTGAGTACCGACATATAGCGCGACTCCAGCGAACCAAGGTCGATTCCCAGCTCGAGGTCCTTTACCAATCCTGTTTCCCTCTTCCCTCTACCACACGCTTCCTGTCAACTTCTCTATTTGACATCCAATAAAGGCACTTGTCCTATCCAATAAAGGCACAAAAAGCCAAAAAGCATAACTTAAAAATAAATAATAAAAAAATGCATGTTTAAAAGCATTCCCAGGTCATCAATTTGCTCACACTAATAGAGTTTGTAGACACAGTCCACATTTTTATGCCAGATTTGTTAAAAAAATAAAATTATTCCAAAGTTTGTGTAAAAAGTGGTTCATTATCAATAAAAATGTTTTGGCATAGATTTACACTGCAGATGCGTGTAGCTTTTCATTCCTTGGCACAGTCAAGACTTTGACTTGTTCACTTGTGGTTTACAAAAAAAAAATACATTTAGGTATAATTTTTTTAAACAGAATTTAAGCCCTTATTTCTGCAATATTACTCTTTAAAACTGCTTTGAAAAGAGCTATATAAATAAATGTTACGAGTTTAATGTCAGAGGATGGACCAGTCGTGCATGGTAAACCAAATTCACTATATTCCCACTTGTTTATTAAACTGGCACAGCTCTGTCCATGCCTTTAAAACAAATTGGACACTGTTTTTATATTTTTTAACAAAGATCTTATAACTACAAACTGATTATAATGGGATTCATACACTGCATAGCCTGTATAAGAGCATTCAAAATAAGTCTTCAGTGTTTTCTCAGATATGGTTCTGTCAGATGTGTGTGTGAGCTCAGGTCAGTGACTGCACTGGAGCAGTTAAACACCCTCAGTCCTCTTAAAGAACTGCCCTCAGCCCTCACATTCTCACACACTAAATTCAGATTTGAACATACAGGCACTCTTATGCATATTCATAAGTACTCTCAGTGCCAGACACGGTCCTCTAGAGGAGAGCATCATTACTCCAGTGTGCTCTATAGCATCGCCTCCACAGCTGTCTCACTCTCATCCTGCCTCACTCTCCTGCTGTCTGAAGACCGTCACTGTCTACAGCATGAGCTCATCCTGTCTCACTCTCCAGCTGTCTCACTCTCATCCTGTCTCACTCTCCTGCTGTCTCACTCTCATCCTGTCTCACTCTCTGCTGCCTCACTCATGCTTTTTGAAGACCATCACTGTCCACAGCATGAGCTCATCCTGTCTCACTCTCCAGCTGTCTCACTCTCATCCTGTCTCACTCTCTGCTGCCTCACTCATGCTGTCTGAAGACCATCACTGTCCACAGCATGAGCTCATCCTGTCTCACTCTCCAGCTGTCTCACTCTCATCCTGTCTCACTCTCTGCTGCCTCACTCATGCTGTCTGAAGACCATCACTGTCCACAGCATGAGCTCATCCTGTCTCACTCTCCTGCTGTCTCACTCTCATCCTGTCTCACTCTCTGCTGCCTCACTCATGCTGTCTGAAGACCATCACTGTCCACAGCATGAGCTCATCCTGTCTCACTCTCCAGCTGTCTCACTCTCATCCTGTCTCACTCTCCTGCTGCCTCACTCATGCTTTTTGAAGACCATCACTGTCCACAGCATGAGCTCATCCTGTCTCACTCTCCAGCTGTCTCACTCTCATCCTGTCTCACTCTCTGCTGCCTCACTCATGCTGTCTGAAGACCATCACTGTCCACAGCATGAGCTCATCCTGTCTCACTCTCCTGCTGTCTCACTCTCATCCTGTCTCACTCTCTGCTGCCTCACTCATGCTGTCTGAAGACCATCACTGTCCACAGCATGAGCTCATCCTGTCTCACTCTCCAGCTGTCTCACTCTCATCCTGTCTCACTCTCCTGCTGCCTCACTCATGCTGTCTGAAGACTGTCACTGTCCACAGCATGAGCTCATCCTGTCTCACTCTCCAGCTGTCTCACTCTCATCCTGTCTCACTCTCCTGCTGTCTCACTCTCATCCTGTCTCACTCTCTGCTGCCTCACTCATGCTTTTTGAAGACCATCACTGTCCACAGCATGAGCTCATCCTGTCTCACTCTCCAGCTGTCTCACTCTCATCCTGTCTCACTCTCCAGCTGTCTCACTCTCATCCTGTCTCACTCTCTGCTGCCTCACTCATACTGTCTGAAGACCATCACTGTCCACAGCATGAGCTCATCCTGTCTCACTCTCCAGCTGTCTCACTCTCATCCTGTCTCACTCTCTGCTGCCTCACTCATGCTGTCTGAAGACCATCACTGTCCACAGCATGAGCTCATCCTGTCTCACTCTCCAGCTGTCTCACTCTCATCCTGTCTCACTCTCTGCTGCCTCACTCATGCTGTCTGAAGACCGTCACTGTCCACAGCATGAGCTAAACCTGTCTCACTCTCCAGCTGTCTCACTCTCCTGCTGTCTCACTCTCATCCTGTCTCACTCTCTGCTGCCTCACTCATGCTGTCTGAAGACCATCACTGTCCACAGCATGAGCTCATCCTGTCTCACTCTCCAGCTGTCTCACTCTCATCCTGTCTCACTCTCTGCTGCCTCACTCATGCTGTCTGAAGACCATCACTGTCCACAGCATGAGCTCATCCTGTCTCACTCTCCAGCTGTCTCACTCTCATCCTGTCTCACTCTCCTGCTGCCTCACTCATGCTGTCTGAAGACCATCACTGTCCACAGCATGAGCTCATCCTGTCTCACTCTCCAGCTGTCTCACTCTCATCCTGTCTCACTCTCCTGCTGCCTCACTCATGCTTTTTGAAGACCATCACTGTCCACAGCATGAGCTCATCCTGTATCACTCTCCAGCTGTCTCACTCTCATCCTGTCTCACTCTCTGCTGCCTCACTCATGCTGTCTGAAGACCGTCACTGTCCACAGCATGAGCTGATCCTGTCTCACTCTCCAGCTGTCTCACTCTCCTGCTGTCTCACTCTCATCCTGTCTCACTCTCTGCTGCCTCACTCATGCTGTCTGAAGACCATCACTGTCCACAGCATGAGCTCATCCTGTCTCACTCTCCAGCTGTCTCACTCTCATCCTGTCTCACTCTCCTGCTGCCTCACTCATGCTGTCTGAAGACCGTCACTGTCCACAGCATGAGCTCATCCTGTCTCACTCTCCAGCTGTCTCACTCTCATCCTGTCTCACTCTCCTGCTGCCTCACTCATGCTGTCTGAAGACCGTCACTGTCCACAGCATGAGCTCATCCTGTCTCACTCTCCTGCTGCCTCACTCTCCTGGTGCCTCTCTCTCCTGCTGACAAGCAGAGACCCCGATGTGATTTTAAAGCGCTTTGGGTGTACAGTAGTATATATGAAAAGCGATATATAAATGCGTCATTCATTCATAAGGGAGATGCAGCAGTGGTCAGATGATAAGAGCAAGTCAAGTCATGAGTGCTGTAGAAACGTAAAAAGGATGAAAAAGTGCAGGAAAATTGCAACAATTTGTACTTCACAGTAAATTAAAAGTTAAAGTGTTTTAGTAGAGAAATGGAGAGTGATTAAAATGTATGTTACCAACAGCAACAGGTTACCATACAAACTACAAGCCAAATATATATTTTATGTAAAAATATGTCATGTGTTATTATTGTGTCCAGTTGAAATGTTTTTTAGTTTTCTATGTAGCAATGTAAAATATTTCTTATGTTTGCATCCACAGTAATGACTTCAGCAAGATGGTTGCAGAAGAGTACCTCAGATTTTTTGAGTTTACAGACCAGACATTGGACCAATCGCTCAGGTACGTCTCATGTCATCATGTGAGTGATTCATCGTCTGATGTGTGATTGACTGCATAATTCAATCACTGTTAAGGTGGAGCTCATTAGATGTGACTTTTATTTAATACATATTTCCATGTTAGGACTGCTAGATGGCATGACATTATATACTGTGCATCAGTAAAATGCAAAGTGTGTCACAAGTGAGTGCTTCTAGTGTAGTGCACGTTGTAAGAGCAGGGATGCTGTAACTGAAGGCTGGTCACAGTTGCCAAGCAGCGTCTCAAATAATGTGCAGTCATACGGTCCATATTGCTGCTGGTTTGCTATGTCTGGAAATGTGCCTCGTCTGGTTAAATACAGTCTTTCGTTTTTAACTCAAATGTTAAATAGTGCAAATTAGTTGCCTTGTGGTTGTATCTTTGTCCCCCCCAAAAATCTCTAATCACATAAAGTTTAATTTGGAATAAAAAATAGGAATAGTTCTGTAATAGATGAATACAATTTCCAGCTAAAATGCAATATTGTGATAGATACTGTTATTTAAGATTAGACACATTGCAATGTGATTTATAGAACATAGGTTTCAAAGTTGTGAAAGGACTATGTGCTGGTTTTTGCTGAAATCTTCATTGCTGTTTCAAGATCATCAATCAAGATCATCTAGGCATCCAGGGCTTGACACAAGCCAACCCGCCTAATGCGTGTGAATTTCAGCAGTGGAGTTGGCTATATAAAACAGTATAATGGATCTGTGCGTCAGGTCTTAAAGCGATAGTAGCCTGAAATACCGGCTGGCAAATTATGAGATATTAAAATATCTATATGGCTGGTTTTCCTTATTGGTATGTCAAAATTGTGGCCAGTGAAAATGCTGAGTGGCCAGTAATGCTGAGTTTACCCCTTTTCCACCAAAAAAGAACTGGTTCGGAACTGGTGCTGGTTCAAAGTTGGTTCGTAGTTGGTTCAACATGCGAACCTTTTCAGAACCTGTTTGTTTTTCCACTCACTAGAGCGCACAGGGATTGACGTCGTTACGTCAGTGTGTACGTCGCCATACGTCTTAGCTAGAAACGCTTGCAAGTACAACATTACTTTGGAATTATCTCTAACTCGTGTACCAAGAAGGCTTTAAAAACAATTGAAATATGTAAGTCTTTTAATGTTTTCCTTTGATATGTAATCTTTTCTGATTAGTTATATACCCCTCTCTTTTGTCTTTTTTCTTTCCATTAATTTGTTCTATATTGTGACTGTTTTCTTCTTTGCTTATAATGTTTTTAATGAAAAAAAATAATAAAATAAAAATAGAAACGCTTGCGCCAACTTCAAGCATAACAATTACAAAGGCGTACTTCTGCAAATGTTTCTCCTGGCTTTGCGATCCTATATTGTGGTCAGAAAAGATATTTAGAACACATCTAAACCCGCCCCAACCCCCGACGTAAGCATGACGTGGTAAAAGAACGGTTCTAGTCCAGCAAAGAGTTGGTGCCGCTTTGGAACCAGTTTTCCTGGCCGAGAACCGGTTCTTTGGCTGTCGAAACACAAAGAACTGGTTCGCGCGCAGGCACCGGCTCCGAACCGGCTCTCAAAATACTTTGGTGGAAAAGGGGCTAGTGAAAAACCAGTAGCCACAGTGGCTGGTGAGCAAAAAAAAAAATGATTAAGATTGTTGTGTTCAAAAAAAGTCTGTTTTTATTATTGTTATAAAGTTACTTTAGGTCAGTGCCGGATCACAGTTCAGGAGTTGGTTCAGATAATCAGCCAGTGTTCACAAACTTTTTCATTCATCTGTTTGTGTGGTCCTGCCCACACACATCGCCCCTGCTTTCTGCTGTGATTGGGGCATCATGTTGGTTTGTCTTGTGATGATTATGTTATATTGCTGTATTTCTGTTGCAGATGTTTTCTGAAAGCATTCTCACTAATGGGCGAGACTCAGGAGAGGGAGCGGGTGTTGATTCATTTCTCTAATCGGTATTACCAGTGTAACCCCACCGTCATCACTGCACAAGGTACTGCATGTCCACCTCATGCACTCACTACTTACAAGTAGGGGTGTAACGGTACATGTATTCGTATTGAACCGTTTCGGTTCGAGGCTTCCGGTTCGGTACGCATACAAACCGAACAATTGCTTGGACCATTTTTCTTGCCGGCAAAATTCGTGCTGACGCGGCCAACACAACGTTGCGCAACATCCAAATGGCAAGGGTAATGAAAGCAGAACGAAACTGCGCTCCTCGTTATGTGCTTCATGGATCGTTTATCAGTTCGGACCAGCAACATCTGTGCAGCGCGAGCCGATCTCGATCAAGCAACACTATTAACACACAGCGCTAAGAGATCCGGTAAAGAAAACAGTTGAATTCGCCACTGAGGTAATAACATCGCTGCGAGATCTAGTGAGATGCATTCACATTTCTCCGTTATTAACCGTAGATCTCTATTAGATCAAACAGCGCTGTCATGGAAACCAGGAGAAACATTGTGCCGTGAATGAACTAGTACTTTACGTCCACAGACCAGCAACATTCACCATGGATTTAATATAGTAACACTAACTGGAACCAGTTTGGCTGGAATGGTGAAATGCTTTCACGTACTTCACACATATTTTCCAGCACTTCAAAATTCAAATATTATATAAATAAATATATATTTAAATGTTATTTTTAATGTGATGACCAAAACATTATTTGTTCATCCTTCAAAGATGACCCCTATTTATAAACCTGAAAGTTTCAAGATCTAGGAAAACACACTTATTTAAAAATATTTTTTCTTTAAACAAATAGGAAATTTCTCTGGCATTTCTTTCTTTTTGCTGTATCGAAAACGTACCGAACCGTGACTTTAAAACCGAGGTACGTACCGAACAGTGATTTTTGTGTACCGTTACACCCCTACTTACAAGATTTGTATTTTACATCAGTATGAGTTTGAGTTTGTGTCCTGATCACCAAGCTGTGAGTTTTTCACTATATTGACTGTGTGTTGTACATTATGCTGCTTATTGCATTGCCAAATAATAGAGATGGTCCTCACTGCAGAACGCGAAATCCAGGGGAAGGATCCAGATCCAACTCCTCCTACCTTACAAATACCTAAACCTACCCATCTTCGTCCTCTGATCCCTAACCCCAACCCTAATCCTACCCACCTCCACCCCCTGATCCCTTAAATCTGGATCCAACTCCGCCCCCTGGATCTCGTGTTCTGCAAAGAGGTGCTACTGAAATAATACATAACTGGATATTGATATGAGTTGAAATGAATAATGCAAGAATAGGAGAGGGTGTTATTCCAGTTAGTGTTAAACAGATATTGATGAAACTATTGATAATTTCAACGTTCATGACTGCAAGTAAATCTGTATATAAATTTGTTATATTGTTATGAACTGTATTTTAATATTATTGTGGTACATATATTTGGTAACACTTTAGTTTAGGGTCCTATTCTCTCTATTAAAGGAGTAGTTCACTTTAAAAAAAACTTTTGCTGATAATTTACTCATCCAAGATGTCCATGTCTTTCTTTCTTCAGTCGAAAATAAATTAAGGGTTTTGATGAAAACATTCCAGGATTTTTTCCACATAATGGACTTCATTGGGTACCAAACAGTTAAAGGTCCACATGACAGTTTCATTGCAGCTTCAAAGGGCTTTAAATGACACCAGACGATAAATAAGGGTCTTATCTACAGTAGCAAAGCGTTCGGTCATTTCAAAAATAAAAAAAAAGTTTAAGTTTTATAAGTACTAATGCTCACCTTGCTCTGTTCTGTGATGCGCGTTCAGGACTCCCCTGTTCGAAATCGTTCATCAAAATGAACAAATCTTTTTTCTAGTCATTTGGTTCATTCAACAAACAAAATGAATGACTCGAAAAAAGATTTGTTCATTTTGATGAACTAGTTGCTTATCATCATGCATATTACTAGGATATTGTCTGTTTATTAATACTTATAAAGCACATACTAATGCTTTATTCTGCATGACCATATCATACATCCCATAATCCACCAATACGTGAACTTAACGACTACCTTACTAACTATTAATAAGCAGTCATAGTTAATAGTTAGCTAATAGTGAGAATTGGACCCTAAACTAAAGTGTGACCGCATTATTTTTTTCTTTCTTATTAGAGAAGAAAGAGAGTGTGGAATAACACAAGATAAATGAAACTAGCACAGCTAGTACTAGTTACCCGAGGACTATTTCAGTGTTTTATGTTTTTGCATATAGAATTCTTTTTTTTTTTTTTCGCACAACATCAGTTTTCAGTTCAACAAGTCAAATCAGTTTAAATCCTCTCTTGACTAATTCTCTATAAAGCATGATTGAGTCTAATCGCTCATTCAGTATCACAGTGTTGCGTTTCCACCATAGCAACCATCTTAGTAACCGCTATGACCAGTATATGGGTAAAAAGCTAAACCATCTCCTTGTTGCTAAGACTGTTGCCATGGAAGTGATGTTAGATTTTCTCCTGATGCAGAGATGCATATGTGTGTGTGTGATATTAAAGTCATGATAAAAATAATGTTCTCTCTGTTTGACCTGTGAGTGAGTGTGTTGATGATGTTTCATTGATGCTTGCAGATGGAGTTCATTGCCTTACCTGTGCGCTAATGCTGCTCAACACTGACCTCCATGGCCATGTAAGTGACCTCTGACCCTCTGGTAAGGTTGCTCGTATTAGCAGCTAAATGAGAAATGACAGTTTGTTCCCTCTTTGCCACAAGCACATGAAACCAGACGCCATTTGACCTTATCAGTGGATGTAAAGATCCCACTGGAGGAGGATATGTCTGTCGTATTTACTCAAAATAAGCTTTTTGGGGAGAGTGCATCAAGGATGTCAGATTTTGTGATTTATTTAATTATCTGTGATCAGATATTGAAGGTTAAACCTGTCAAATCTGCAGCTGGTTGTAACCACTGGAAGAAACCAAGAGATGATTCGGGTATGTGCCGTCGGTAACTACAGTGAAGGAAGGAGAAAGTTTCGCACCCCCCACTACTTCCTAAGTGAAATGTGAGGTGCATTGTGGGTACTCTAAGAATAGCTCCTCTCATTGGTCTCCATGGAGTTTGATCATGTGTCTTGGAGTTGGTTTGACATATTCAGTAGGACGCATGTGCCGTAGAGACGTGGAGATCTCATGCCCACGCCGCAGCACTTCTCGAGACGCATTCATTTCAAACATTGTTTGGTTTAGTGTCATGTGGGTGAATGCAGCTGAACGCTGCGCAGCCACGGATCTGTGCAGAAATGTATGCCAGACACCCACACACACATACACGACTGCGCTTGTGGAGGGAAGCGTTGTGCACATCACACAGGTTATATGAGACCGAGCAGGGAATCTCCTCAAAGCCTGTCCAGGGCCCATTAAACCTCTTAAAGACAAAGTTTGAAAGATTAAAACAGATATTTGTGTTTAACGTTATAAAATAAAACAAACTTATTTTGTTGAACCATTTTTAGCTTTAAGGTTAATTCGATTGGAGAAATGCCCCAAATCTGATTTTCTCCCTCTCTGACCCCATGGGATCTGATCTTTGAGGCTGCGTTCACACTGCGGAGTCTTAGTCCTCAGATCTGATTTATTGCCCAGATCTGATTTTGTTGTATAGCTGGTCACATTGTTGTTTTAAATGTGGCCAATATCAGATCCCCGTGTGAACAGATCATGGTCCTGGACTGACCAGAAAGATAAAACGCGACACGCAGCCCAATTCTGATGTTTTGCTCATATGTGACACAGATCGGATGTGTTCTATGACCGCAAAATAATGCATGCATTCGGATATTTTGAGATCGGTTTCAGGGCTCATTCATATTTGGAAATAAATCAGATATGTGCCAAAGCGACTGTCATGTAAACGGGCAGCTCGGGTTTTCTAAGGCATTAGGCTCAGAAATCAAAGGTTGGCTTGCTCATCCTAAAATTTCGGACCCACTGCTCCTCGTTAAACAAAATTAATCCGCCACAATATGCTCCCGGAACTCCTGAGGACTCTCTCGCAAACAGTAACTGAAGCACATGCACAGGCAAACTTCACGTGTATCGCAGAACATGCATTAAGCATAATTGGTGTTCGTCCATCTGTGCAAGAACCGCATGCGCGATGTTTCAGATAGTCTAGCAAGTGTAAACGCATGACTCGGATATGGGTCACAATTGAAATAACGTGTAAACAGACGGATATAGGCAACAAATCAGAATTGAGCATCAAGACCTGCAGTGAAACAGGACATTCACATTTGGGCCACATTTACCCGCAGTCTGAATGAAGCCATTCTAATTTGGGCCTCTTCCATATATATGTGGTAATAAATCAGATGTCTGAACATTCATATTGGGATTCATCACTCTATAGCAACGTTCATCACAATTCTGCGCTCATGGGAGTCACTCCAAAGATTTTACACACCGGTAGTTCTTTAGTGACTGGGTTAATAAGGAAGACGGCAGTGAAGTTAGTCAGTGAAATCTCTCTTTCTCATCAGCTTAGTCCTCCTCCTCATTGCCTGCGCATGTGTTTGTGGACTTCTGCGGCACATCAGCTTATAGATGAGCCTGTAATACTGACTTCAGTCAGCTCAGTGTTTGCTTCTGCAGGACAGTGTGCTGCACACACTCTTGTTATTGTATTTCGCGGGACCGTGCATTCAAAATAAAACCTGAGCAGCCAATCAAAACAAAGCAGATCTGAGCAGTCAATCAGGATTGAGCACTAAGACCCCGTTTACACCTGGTATTAAAATGCGATCTGTATCCAGATAAGTTATCCGGATAATAAGTACTGATTCCATTTACACCTGGCCACATAAATGTGTTTTTGCAAAACGGATATAAATCCGATCTTCACCTCCTGCGTTATATGCAGATTTATTGGATTGCACGCCACCAAAAGCAACAGATTTGAGCTGCATTTTATTGATCATCAGCTAATTTCCAAATCCGAGACATCAATAAGAGAGAGTGGCAACAGGCCTGGTAAGATAATTTCGTTTCTTTACTTGAAGATGTGTTAACTGCGTCTGTGACTTACTTTCACTTTTATTTGCGATGTTTGCATGTTGAATAGACGCTCAGCTGCTCATCTGCGGTGATGCGTGTCGCGTGTCGCATCTGACTAGGCTATAACATGACATAGCCTATATAACACGCTCTCACTCGTTTATTTTTTAGCATTTTTGGGAGGAGTAAAATATACATATGTGGTTTCAACAACCAGATTGCGTTTACACCTAGTAAAGATCCGGACACAATGCGAGCCAGACTACCTCCAGATGTGGTCAGGCAGATCCGATCACGATCCGATCACAACGCGTTTACACCTTGCATTAACATGCGTTTTTTATTATCCGAATAACTTATTTGGATACAGATCGCATTTAAATACCAGGTGTAAACGGGGTCTAAGGTTCGTGGTGTGAACATAGCTGTGCTCCTGGAAGCTGTCAGAATGAACTCCAGATATCCAGATGTTTGTTCACTCATGCTCATATATCCAGTGGCAAACAACGGTGACATGAAGCCTTTTTGGTATTTCCCGACCTAACGTCCTGTTTCAACGGTGCATTACACTACCATTCAAAAGTCTGGAGTCAGTAAGATTTTTTTTTTTTTTTTAAATTAATACTTTTGTTCAGTAAAGAACGATTACAATTGATTAAAAAAAAGTAAAGACTTTTCCATTGTTCTGAAAAATGTATAAAGAAATGATGTTCATTTGAATGGTTTCCATAGAAATATGAATCGGCACAACTGGTTTCAACATTGATAATAATCAGAAATGTCTCTTGATCATCAAATCATCATATTAGAGTGATTTCTGATGGATCATGTGACACTGAAGACTGGATGCTGGAATTTCAGCTTTGATCTCAGGAATAAATTGTACTTTATTATAAATTCACATAGAAAACAGTTAAATTAAATTGTACTAATATTTCACAATGTCTTGATGTAATTCTTGATCACATAAATGCAGCCGTGATGAGCATAAAAGAGACAACAGTGTACAACAATACAGGAAAACCGCACTCATCAAGCCATATCATGTACATTTCTTTTTATTAGGGCATTGTTTGTGACGGGACAATTAACTGCCTTTTCCCATAATGCAATTTCTTTACATTTACTGTAAAACATAATGGTACTCATCCTTTATGAGAACAATCTTTCTTTAGTAACAAATATCATTCAGTATAACAAATGCTAACATGATTAATTCAGAATGAAATAAAATGAGAGAGCCCTTTCTTGCATTACAGTAATGAGAATTAAACCCTTTGCCTTCTTTTTATGAGTATGGTTACTGGGCAAGACTCAAATGTTTCTTTATAAAATGATTTATTGTCCTTGCAACATAGTGACTTTGCTGACTTTGTGATGTGTGCATTGCAGATCCATGTCGAAATGCACAGAAAGAGAGCAATAGCTGTTAGAGTGATGGAGTGATCGCATCGTTCGTGATGAAACCGCAGTGCGAGATCTTGTGGAGTCGTGTTTTTGGAAGCAGCCTGTGTGTCTCTCTTTGATTTCTCGTGCCAGTCTGAACATTTGTCAGTGCCATCCACCTACAAACTCGGCTGGTGCTGGCAGGAACAGTAAAGTCAGTGGAACAAACACCGTCTGCTCTTTATATTATAAGGCAGTCTTTCTCATGAATTTATAAAAGCAGCAATCTGAGAAATCACGGTTCTGACACAGTAATTGTAGAAGTGATTGTCTAATACTAGCAGTCAGTATATGTGGTTACTGTAGGCGCTTGTGAGAAGCCTGAAGCTCACTGTAAACGCTGAGAACTCGCATCTGGAAATTGTCAGGACAGAAAACAGCATTCTAGAAAAACCCGCGCTGTGTGTACAGAACCGGACTGACATTTGGATCTGTCTGTATTCACAATAATATATAACAACTAGGGCTGTCAGTTTAACGCGTTATTAACTGCGTTAACGCAAACCCATTTTAACGGCGCTCATTTTTTTATAGAGCGATTAACTGTCTTTTTTGTCCAAGCAAACTTTTTAGTTTTTTCACATGCTTTTGCAACAGGACGCGGCATGCGTCCTGATCCATTTCGGCGTCTCGCGCTCGTCATCCACTCAAAGCTGGATCGCAAGCCGAAACGTATGTTTGCGGCGTGCCTGTTGTTTTGTTTCCGGTCTAGCTAGATCCGCTTGCGCTTTGGTCGAAGAAGCAACAAAACGTCCTCGCGCGGCACAAGCCATTGAAATGAATGGTTTTCAGAGCGCAGCGCGAGGACGTTTTGTGCCACACATGCTCCTTTCGGCTTGCGAGCCGGCCAAATAGTCACGTTACGTTTTGAGTGGATGACGAGCGCGAGACGCCGAAATGGATGCCCTAAGATTCTGAATAGAAAGTTTACTTTTAAAAAGTTGCCAAATTGTCCCATTGACAAGACCAAGTGATCTGAGCTATCATCATCGCTGCACGTCCAGTCTGAAACGCCACTTGATGATGGCCAAGCAAACACACACACACAGATGATGACCTCGTCAGTATTTCTTTCACCCATTTATTGATGGATAGAGTTTCATTGTTTGAGAGATTATTTATATATGTTAGTTTGAAATTGAACACTATTCCAATGTTCTTTTCAATAATAATAATAAAAAAACATTTGCACTAAACAAGCCAATCTACTTTTCCATGTTGATAAGAGCATTAAAATGAGAAAAAATAATGTAACAAAAAGAATCAAAAGACGTTTAGAATAGATAAAAATGTGCGATTAATCGCGAGTTAACTATGACATTAATGCGATTAATCGCGATGAAATATTTTAATCGTTTGACAGCGCTAATAACAACGCCTCACGTTTATGTTTTACGTGGCGAGAGAAAGTCGCATAAACCACACGAAATCCGACCAGAGCGATCAGAATGAAACCGATCTCCAGAAATGCGATTTGAATTGGATTTCAAACCACATATGGATGTAGCTCAAAACAGATTTGTAAAAATCGCATTTCATGTGATTTATCGTTGTTCACACTAGCTCATTCTCATCAGATTTCAAGCAGATATGAACAAAAATCTGATTTGGACTGACAGCCTGAGCGTAGCCCTTTAGAGACTCACACCTGTAAGTAAAAGCGGTTGTCAATCCCAAAAGCAGGCACTTTTCATTGGATAGTTGATGCTCTAACATAATGCAAACTGTTTTAGTGATTCAATTAATAGTTTTTTTTATTTTTTTTTATTAAATGTTTTATATAAAAACATTCCCAAATAAATATGTTCACACAAACTGTAAAAAGAGCAAATATTCATGGGCCGTCAGTAATGACTCATTAGTGAGCGATTACACAGTACAGTTGAATAATATTATGTTATTAGATCAGATCAGTTCCGGCACTGTAATTGATATTCTTAATCCTGTACATTATGTTAAAGACGTCGCCTCCTCCACAGAGTTATTCCACTGCTTCAGTCTGTGGATCAGTACATGAGCTTGGCACTGGATGATGTCAGACATTCATTTATAAATAACCTTTTGCTTTGCACATGTGCAGAGAAAGATATCAAATAATATGAAGTTCTTTTCATTCGCAAAGTTGTTTATTGAATTATTCAATAGGAGGCATTAATACATGCACACCACCGTTCAAAGGGCTGGGGTCGTTATAGTTATAGTTTTCTCTTAATGTTTTTGAAAGAAGTCTCTTTTGCTCACCAAGGCTGCATTTATCTGATCAAACATATATGATCAAAATTATTGGATTCAAAGTATCTGTTGTCTATGTGTATATGTACATAGATATAAATATGTATATATGTGTATGTGTATATATAAATATGTATATATGTGTGTGTGTATGTATATATATATATATATAGTAAAGTGCAATGTATTTCTGTGATCAAAGCTGAATTTCAAGTCTTACTCCAGTCTTCATTGTCACATGATCCTTCGGAAATCACTCTAATATGATGATTTGATGATCCATTATGATGATCATCAGTTTTGAAAACCGCTGTGCTGCTTCATATTTTTGTGGAAGCTATGATACTTTGTTCAGAATAGTTTATAACATGATCAGTTTTATAGCTCCTTACTGAATAAAATAATTGATATTTCTTTCTTTCTTTTTAAGTCTTACGCTAGTATGTTTAATGTATAAGCCGTTTTAGATTGAACTTCCAGCAATGACAACTACATAGTGATAAATACTATGATATAAGATCTCATATGGCGCCTTATTTTACACAGCAGATTCTGCCTGTAAATGTGATGAGAAAGCAGGACTGGCTGATTCACAGCGTATCTGCTGTGGTCCCGTCAGACTCACAGGGTCACATCAGTGCCATCCTGTCCGATTAACAGACCAATAAATGTTTCTCATGCCCCACAGAATATTGGGAAGAAGATGACATGCCAGGAATTCATCAATAACCTGGAAGGACTCAACGAAGGACAAGATTTCCCCCGGGAGCTGCTGAAGGTAAGACTCAAACACTTCTCCCAGCATTCCTCTGTGAGATCACGTGTGCAAGGATTCATTGCATTATAAACCCACGTGATGGATACAGAAAACTCAAAATGGAAATCAGCTTCTCCGGGTCCACAAAGCCCTACTTTCCCCTGCTTTCAGAAGATCATCTGATCCTTACTAATCAATCACCATCACCCTGATGTTTGCACACTTGATACAAGTTCAGGACCAAAGCGCTCTTGACTTGGATTCATTAGTAATGCATGCTGTTATTGGAGACCGACAGGGGCGTTTGGTTGCTTTAAAGGGTTTGTAAAACACATAAATCCTCTCCTGTCTTATTGTAAATGCAGATGTCTCTATCTGATATCACACATCATTGCTTTCAGTATTCCCATTTGTATTTTTACTTTAGTTTTCACTTTTAAACATCCTGCTGCATTAGTTAAAGGGTTAGTTCACCCAAAAATGGGTGATATGTCATTAATTACTCACCCCCATGCTGTACCAACCCCGTAAGACCTTCGTTCATCTTCGGAACACAAATGAAGATATTTTTAATTAATTTTGAGAGCTGTATCACTACCACATAGGCTCCTAAGGGAATGACACTTGACGGCCCAGAACGTCAATGAAGAAAATGTTTAAATATTCCATGTGACTACAGTGGCTCAACTATAAGTTTATCAAGCGACGAGAATACTTTTTGTGAGAAAAAAAAAAAAAAACGACTTTATTCGACTATACCTTTTCTTCCTTGTTGGCCTGAAACGAGACTTCCTTAGATTTCCACGACGCATGCGCGAGAATTGCGATCTCTTTCAACTACTTCAGTTCAGTTCTCACGCATGTGTCGTGGAAATCTCTTGAAGTCTCGTTTCAGGCCAACAAGGAAGAAAAGGAATAGTCGAATAAAGTCGTTTTTTTTGTATGTTTTTTCGCACAAAAAGTATTCGCGTCGCTTGATTAACTTATAGTTGAGCCACGGTAGTCACATGGAATATTTAAACATTTTCTTCATTGACTTTCTGGGCCGTCAAGTGTCATTCCCTTAGGCAGCCTATGTGGTAGTTATACAGCTCTCAAATTTAATCAAAAATATCTTCATTTGTGCCGAAGATGAATGAAGGTCTTACAGGATTGGTACAGCATGGGGGTGAGTAATTAATGATTTAATTTTCATTTTTGGGTGAACTAACCCTTTAACTAATGCAGCAGGATGTTTAAAAGTGAAAACTAAAGTAAAAATACAAATGGGAATAGTGAAAGCAATGATGTGTGATATCAAACTTGTGTGGCTAGAAGCATCTGCGTTTACAATAAGACAGGAGAGGATTTATGTGTTTTACACCAGTCTTTTTCCTCTTTATTTGGAATTTATAGCTTATGTAAGTTTTCAGATCTTGAGTTGTTTGTGATGGTAAGTAACGCTCACACAGATTTGAATGTATGCATTTGGCAGGTGCTAATCTAAAGCTTTCGACGTTATGTTGTTGTTTGAGCTACAGGAACAACAAAAGTTGCAGTAGATCAACACAAATAAATACAAACTGTTATTAAACCATATTAAAGGGAGACTCCACCCATTTGCATTAAGATTTCCATTGTTAGAAATCCAGTCATACTATTGAATGGCCGTGCAACACTCTCTCATTTTCCCCTGAGATGAGAGAAATCCGTTATTTACCTTTTTTACTTCCTCCTACAATGACGCAAAAATCGGCATGTTACGTCATTGTAGGAAGTGTATGAGGTGGGGATTTCTGTAAAGACTACAAACACTAGTTCCCACCCTTTCAAACCCGCCCATAGGGACCTATCACTAATGTGCTTACAGGCCTATCACAGATCAGTGCCAAACTTTTTGAAAATATGGACGACGGTACTGAATACGCAGACTAATGCATTATGGATAGGGTTGGGTACCGAAACGTGGTGCCAATAGGGAACCAGTTCCGACGTAAATGGTAATAACCAGATCGAATAAGAACGAAAATTTCTGTGCCTGAGTCTCTGTGTCATGAGGCACACACACGCAAAGTCTCTCGCTCTCTCCCTTGTGCGCGCACTATACGGTTTGTAGCACTGTCGCACTCTTGCTCACTCGCTCCAGATTCCGGGAGATTTTAACTAATTTGCGGGCATCAGGGAGTCATTATCAATATGCGGGAGACTCCCGGATTGTCTGATAGCGAGGGGATTAATGAAGATGCCGAAGACAAAATGCTCCAAGGTTTGGTTGCATTTCAGGTGTAAAATTACGCATCAGATTAAGTGTGCCGATTGTCTGAAGCCCATATAGAATCACGCCAATCCATTGGCTGATGGCCCGGGCGCCGCCTTGGCGCTCTTACGTCGTCATATTATATTAGCGTGCATTATCTGATTTCATTGTGCGAAATGATTTCCAGGCGGTAGCTTAGAGTGGAGCTCAACTCTAGTCTACATTGATGGGCGGAGTAGTGGGAGTGGCCTGCGGAGCTGAGCATTGAATTGCACTATGGGGATTGTTGTCTACAACCCAGAAGCACTAAAAAGTAGGGATGCACCGAATATTCGGCCGCCGAAAATTTTCGGCCGAAAATGGCCCAAAAGTGCATTTTCGGTTTTCGGCCGAAAGACTTTTATCACCGAAATAATACGGCCGAAATGTTGTGATGACGCAAACAGAAACCGCGACCTGCACGTGCTTGTCTGAAGCAACATGTCTGTGGTGTGGACGTATTTCAGTGTATCTGAACCCGCGATGAGACGGAAACCTTGTTTATCCACCTATAAACAATGCGTGCCGCCATGACGACCACTCCGGTTCCGAGCGGGTCAAGAGCGGTGCGCGCGCTGTCTGTGGAGACTCGCGCTGCCTTGTTTATACTTTCGCCTGCCTCCGCAGCGCGAGTCTCCACAGACAGCGCGCGCACCGCTCTTGACCCGCTCGGAACCGGAGTCGTCGTCATGGCGGCACGCATTGTTTGGAGCAGGAAACAATTAAAAATTATAAATTAGACTCGCGCTGAGGAGGCAGGCGAAAGTAAACAAGGCAGCGTGAGTCTCCACAAACAGCGCGTGCACCGCTCCAAACGGTCGAGGCGTTTATACTTGACGCGCTCTCCGTTGTAACTGTTACTATTCCTTGAAACGACAGGGGACGACTCAAGCAACTGTCCTCTAACCATCAGGAATCGGCGAGAAGAAGACAGATAAATACATGACAATGTTTATTTTTTAGTATTCCACCACCAATACAAAAATAATCATGTAAAGTAAAACCCAGTAAACCCTGAGATTATTACTTGTGACATTACAAAAAAAAATATGTATATGGGAACATGTATAGAACTAAATTAATGCTCTCTTAAATATTTTCTACATTCACTAAAAATGTTTCATTAACTTTCATGTACATTTGTATTAAACATGGACCATTGTTCATTTAAAAAGGCTTTTTATGCTATTGTATGCTACATTTTTTAAAATGTCACTAATTTAGACCTGCAAACTGTGTGCTAGTGATGAGAAGTTTGCGGTTGGCTTTGTTTTTGAGAGAACATTTCATTTAAAAACCTTTCTGCAGGCCAGTAGATTATTATTTAGTGCACACATGAGTGGGGTCAAGTTAAACATTTTAGTTTGAATTTTATTTTATACTGTGCATTGTGCTAAATATATATTTGCATAATTTGTAATTGATTTATTCTTTGAAAATGTTATATTAATTTATGCAATTGCAATGCCTTGATTTTAGTAAAGTTTGCACAGTCATAGCCATAAATGCAATGATACTAATAATTGGCATAATTTCTTTCGGTGTTTCGGTTTTCGGCCTTGGTTTCCTTTTTTTCGGTTTTCGGTTTCGGCCAAGAATTTTCATTTCGGTGCATCCCTACTAAAAAGTATATTTCTGCCTTTTATCGGCCAATAAGGGCCCAAATTAGAAATGTATGATACTATTCTACTACATATTTGACCCACTCAATACATATTCATGTCTTCACCGGTGGAATTACCCTTTAAATAAAAACAATTTACAAGCTTTTTAAAGATAAAAAAATAATGCCCTGAATTTAATTATAATCCACAAATATAACTTGTAATTTATTAAATGCACAGGAGGGTTAGACAGAGGCTGGCCTAAACGGATGTCTTGTGTAGAATTGAGAAGGCCCTGTTATTAGCGACACCGGTGGCCGTTGAGTGAACTGCAGTCAACAGCTTATTGCTCACGCTCACTACACTGATTGTGATTCAAGACCCTGATGTAGGCTACATAGTGCAAACTTCTTTTTCGTTCTTTGTTTAGAAGTAAAAGTTGGAAATACCTTTACAGCCAAATACTGTTAACAAACATCCCAATGCCGTCAACGATGCTGAGAGTGACGTTTAGATGAATATGTGAATATGCTTTCCTCAATAACAAGATAAACAACAGCATGACAGCGGTGAGAAAACAACAGTTCAGAAAGCATCTGATCATTGCGATGAGGATATGTCTGCAGCTGATCTGCGAATCACCGGCATCATGTCGACAGATGAGGTCAAATTGCACTGTTTTAAAAGTTTGATTATAAAGTTTAAGACTGTAGACTATAGATCTGGCTGTGTGAGACTGTAGTTTGAATTAATTCCTTTTCTTTGGCACATTACTGTACAGAACGGCTCTTTCTGCATTATCCTGAACATCAGCTTTCGGTTCATGTGTCACTGAACAGAAAAGGCTCTCAGGAGCGTAAACGTCACATCCTTTAGATTAAAATCAGTATACGGCTTTCATACACAACCGAGGGACTCGGGGAAGGTCTCGTTTTCTATCTTTCTTTGCCAGAGGATGCTTAGATATTGCCACTTATTTCGGCACATGGTCGGAATATTGCCATGACCAAGTAAAAAATGTAGGTGTTTGTTTTGTTTAACTGAGAGCTGAAATTTGATAAGCAGATTATAGCTGTGGTTTCTTTTGAGTTGCTTTTTCCAGATTAGGTCTATTGCTTGTTTAAAGCCGATTTAGAAAATGT